TGGAAGCTACTTCTCTACAAGTATAATCTTAAACCTCAGTATTAGAATAATAAAAATAACAAGAAGACTTTTGAGGTGTAGTGCATAACTATAAAGGGATGCTCTTGGCCTTACAAAATTAAGCAGAAAAGTGTATTCAACATCCAAAACAGAAACCACTTTTATACTTGCATAGATTCCTATTCATTTGCTTATACCAAGGAAGGTTTTCAGCAATTTATAAAACTGGAGGGCAAAGCATGTGTTTTACAGAGAAGGAAGGCATGGTATTCAGAGGTTTATTTTAGAATTCATTTTTTTTCCTTCCCATAGTGCTGAGGATTAAATGCAAAGCTTCACTCATGCTGGGAAAGTACTATACAGCACCACTGAGCTCTGCTCTCAGCCTGATACAGGAATATATTTAAAAGAAAATAGAAAAAATAGCAGAAAGCATTAAATTGAAAACAGGAAAACAACAAAACATATCCAATTCTTTAAAAAGTTCAAAAACTTAAGCAAAACTCACAAAGGTAACAAGAGAGAAGACACAAATTACTAACATCAGGGGGTAAAAAAAGCCCCAGGATATCACAACAGATCCTGCAGCTTTTGAAAGGATAATCAAGAAATACCATGACAACATTACTCTCATAAATTTTACTATTCAGAAGAAATGTACCAACTGCTCAAAAGTCACACTTTACAAAAAGCCAGGCACAATGAAAATGATGTTATAAAAATACCTATATCTAGTAAAGAAATTATGTTTGTAATTTAGAAGTTCCAGAAAACTACCAGGCACATTTTGTTTCACTGGAAAATTTTAACCAACATTCAACGAATTAACTCCAATATTTACCAGAAAATTAAAAAGGAGCACTTACTATTAACTCATTTTTATGAGGCCAGTACTATCTTAATACCAAAACTAGAAATTAAGGCACAACAGAAATAATAAATCAGCACAGTCCAACATCTCTCATGAACTCTGATATAAATATCCTCCATGAAACTAGCAAATCAAATCTAACAACAGATTTTTTTAAATTATATTACAACCAAATGGGATTTATTTTGGGGATATAAGATTAGCTCAATGTTTATAAATTAATTGATATAATTCACAGTATTAATACACCAAAGCAGAAAAACTTTATAATCACATCAATTGATCTACATAAAGTAGTGAACACTCATTTATAATAAAAATTTTCACCATAGTATGACTAGAGAAGAATTTCTTCAAATATAAATGGCATCTAAAAAAAAATCTATATTAACAGCAAACTTAGTAGTAAGAGATTGAAGCCAAGCAAGATGATACATGCCTAGAATCAGTACATTACTTTTCTTGTTGCTGAGGCAAAATACCCGACGCTCAAAGTTGAAGAGTAAAAGGTTAATCTAGCTCATAGTCTACAGAGGTTTCATTTCATAATCAGCTGCCTCCAAGACAGGTTGGCATGGCAGAGGAGAAACAATTCATGGCAGGCAGAAGACTGCAAAAGCTAGCAAGGGGACCACAGCTCTTTCTATCCCTTATATCATACCCAGGCTACCTGCCCTTACTGTGGGTAGCACTCACATCCTTAATCCTAGTGCCCTTGATCCTCTCCTTGCACCATGAATCAATCCCACTGTCACACACTGTAAATCCACCCACTTCTGAAAAAGCCCCACATATGACTTCATGAGGTTTTGGGGGGACATCTAGATACAAGCCATAACAACCACTTACAATTGATCTAAGGAAAATTAAATACTTAGATATAAATCTTAATCAGTGCTAATATAGATGATCTATATTATAAAATGCTGATAGAAGAAAAGACATTCAAAGAATAACAGCAATATTTACCAGAAAATAAAAAAGGAAAATTAAATACTTAAATATAAATCTTAGCCAATGCTAATATAGATAATCTATATTATAAAAAATCTTATGGATTGGAAGACTCATGTAAAAAAAATATCAATTCTCGCTAAACTGACCTACAAATTAAACTCCATTCCTAATAAAATGTCAGAAAGTTTCTTTGGAAACATAAACAAACTTAGTCTAAAACTTATATGAAAGAGAAAGGCCATTTGAAGAGTCAGCATAATTTTGAAAAAATGAACAAAGTTGGAAGAATCACTTTGTCAATGTTATGAATTTATATATAGCTGTAGTAATCAAGACAGTGTGATACTGACATATAAATTAATGGAACAGAGAATCCAAAAATAGATCAAAATAAATATGCCCAATTGATATTAGATAAAGGAGCAAAAGCAGTTTAATGGACAAGGGACAGTATTTTCCGCAAATTGCACTGGAACAACTGGAAATCCATTGGCAAAAAATATAAAGCTGAACTTAATTTTCATATGTAATTGTGTAGCACTTAACTTCAAATAGGTCATGGGCTTAAACATAAAACTATAACATTTCTAGGCAAGAATATAGAAAATCTTCAGGACCTAGGACAAGGCAAAGGCTTCCTACACTTGTTAGCAAAAGCATGATCTTTAAGAAGCGTAACTGATAAACTGAATTTTGACAAAATTTAAAGCTTTTACTCTGTGAAACATCTGCTCGTGCTAAGGATATAGCTCAGGAGCAGAAGCGCCTGTCTGGCAAGCATAAGGTCCTAAGTTTGATTCCCGGTACCAAAAAAAAATCCTGCTTGAGGAATGAAAAAGCAAATTATAAACTGGGAGAAAATATTTTCGTGTCACATATTTGAAAAAGTCCTTTTGTCTAGGACAAGTAAATAAGTCTCCAAAGTTAACAATTAAAAAAAATCTAGTTAGAAGTCTAAAGATATGTACAGACATTTCATCAAAGAAAATAGGTGGATGGAAAATAAACACCTAAAAACCTATTCTACATAACTAGCCACTAGAGAAATTCAATTTAAAAACCATAGTACTACAGCACTCTGTATCAGAAGGGCTAAAATGCAAAACATTAATAGCACCAAATGCTGATAGGGATGCCAACAAGCTACATCATTTACACATTATTAGTGTGAATATCAAATGGTAAAGCATTCTGGAATATAGTTTGGCAGTTATTTCATAAGAAAAATGAACTTACCATATAAACCAGCAGTTGCACCAGTGTGTAGCCCAGATAAACAAAGACTAGTTTTTGTGCAAGAATTTATATAGAGACGTTCATCATGGCTTTATTCTTAATACCCTAAAACTGAAAACCATCTCTATTTCCTTACATAAGCTGTGGTAAACCACACCACAGCATGGCACTCAATTGTAGAGTTCTTAACAAGCACAAACCTTGAATGAGTTTCAAAAGTGTGCATAATGAGAAACAACTCAATCGCCAAAGGAGATATCACTTATACAACAATCATGAAATAACAAAACAGCAATGGGGAACAGGTTAATGGTTGCTGGGCACCAGGGATAGGGATGGGAAAAAGAGGTATGTGTGACTTTCAGGAGATATACAAGGGTCATACTGCACCTAAAGTTGAACACATTCACAATGGTAGTAGTTACCTCAACCAAAACTGATGAAGATAACAAAACTGCAAGGCTATATGTGTGATAAACTACATAGACACATACACACACAAAGGGCTTGCATGACACAAAGAGTTGCTGGTGAAATCGAATTAATTTCTAGAATTTGTACCCATATGCCTCCCTTGATATTTTATGATACGCTACAGTTATGTAACATGTTACCATGGCAGTGGGGAGGGTTGTTGGGGACTTCAGTGCAGGCTGGGACAAGGCTACACGGAGATTTCTGGTACATTTTTTGCAGCTTCTACAAACTTATAATTATTTCCAAATAAAAAATTTAAAAGAATAGCACAGCCAGGCCACATGTTTGACTCTTAAGCACTTCACAATGGGGGAGGGGGGGCGGGTAATAATTACACAGTTTACAGGGGGGAATAATAATTACACAGGTTATAGGGCCATAGGATGGGGAAAACCAATTGTTTGGACGACCCTCCCTTACTCTAAAACACAACCTTGATGGTAGGAATGGGAAGACCTTCCTTTTACAGCTTCTCACAAAAAGAACATTCTAACTAAAGATTAGTCCCTCACCTACCACCCAGGACCCAAGACGGCACTCCCCCGACCCTGGCCTGCCCCTAGAAGTTCTTTATTAAAAAGTGTCTTTGTGTTTACAGCATGGAAATGCCCAAACCAAGTATCTCCTCTTATGACAGACGTGATCGCGTTTATGAGCACATCTCAACACTAGGGGGTGCAATTTCTGATGAGCTGGGTCACAGTTAAGATCAAAACCTTTACAAAGGGAGGCACTTTGTAGACATCAACAACGGCCTTAAAAACACCAGCTTCCACAGGGATGTCCTCTCTGTACTTGTTCTGGCTTGCTGGTGCCTCTACCGTGATTTGATGCCTTGGAAAAACCATTCGTCCCACACAGAGCCTCGGGCAGGTGGTCATGACACTGGCTGGACAGGAGATAATTTCACCACCCCACAGAGAGACGAAGAAACAGAAGGAGACTCCTAGAAAGGGTGTTGTGCTTCACTAACCCTTGCAAGTATGGATCAAAGCTTCAACTCAAAAATGGGTGTTCCTTTGCCTCATTTTGCCCTCTGTTAATATGGGACAGGATTCAGGAGTCGGGATGGGAGTCTTCACCAATATCTTTCTATCTCAACCCAAGTTTTATAACAGTGTTCGTCGCAGAGACTAGTTTCTTTATTCAGATCGACAGGGGCAAGCAAGACGGTCCACATCCGGGAATCTCCCTGAGCTTGTTTAGGCCCTTGGCTCTACAAATGCATGTGACCCTCAATTCTCATTCAGCCAATAATTTGAGAGACCACCTCCAAAGTTACTCCTATGGTTATTCCAGGCCTAAGAACAGTGAGCAAATCACTTCTATTTTAAAGAGCTCTCCTTCCCAACAACTTCAACCGAAGTCAAGGCGTCCCTCTCTAGTCCGAAAAGGAACCCCCAACAGCAATCTGTGGAGTACGAGTATTTAGATTAAGATATTGGTCTTGCCAACTTACGTGGAACTGGTCTGAGGTTGTTCAAATGCTTCTTTTGGAATTTTAAGGCCAGGGTTTCGTTTCTTGCCTATAGGGAAAGAAATAAGGCAAAAGTTAAAGTCTACCTCACAGCAAGAGAGCGGGAGCAGAACCTGAAAAAGGGCTGCCGTGGGTGTGCATGGCTCTCATGCGGTCCACATCACCAGGCAGCCTGTGAGGATCAAGAACCCGAGCACCAGCTAGCACACTTGCCCCAAGTGCAGAGTGCGGTCAAGAATGGCATTTTCATCAGTCTAACCTGAAAATATCCAGGTAAGAATGCCAACTACCTTTTCCTGGGAAGACCTTACCCTTTCTTCCCGCTGAGAATTTGTAATGGAACTTCTTTGTCTTTTCTTTTTCACCATAATCATAATGACGGATGATGTTGGTTGTAGTTTTTCTGTTTTTAAGGTCAGTGACACGCAGTCACCAGTACCTCTGTATCCTACACTCTTGCAGATTTGCCTGGGGGGGAGCTGGGGATTTAGCTCAGCAGCACAGCGCCTGCCTGGCAAGCGCAAGGTCGTGAGTTCGATTCCCGGTACCAGAAAAAAAAAATTTGCCTGTGAACAATTGCTAGCAGTAATAATAAACATAGAATAAAAACTGCTTTCCCACCGTCCTGCCCTGCCCCATTCCTCAGTTCCCCTGCCAGGAGTTGAATATTACCCTAGAGTACTATTTACTTCTATTTGCTCAGCTCCAAGATGGATTAAGGTAACAGATGGGCTCAGGCGAGGAGGTTACCCCTTCCTGGAGGTCCAGATGGGGACGCTGCGTAACCTGATGTTGCTCATCCATGAGCCGAAACTACAAGAGAACTTGGCTCCAGTACTTTTGTTGATGAGTCAAAAAGAACAGACTGAGAAATGCCAGCTCGGGAAGCAGATTGGAGAAAATAGTCTTTTAAGGGACTGGGATTTTTCTCCCTTTATAGAGAACCTGTGTCTCTTTGCAATCGGCAGGGGAAACCAAAGGAGAACTGGATAGAAGGCCCCCAGTTCTGCTTCCTGGTTCACATCGTCCCTGCCTTACAAGTGAACATTTCAGAGCAGACAGAGCCCTGGGTGACATCCTGGGTAGATTCTAAAGCTGCTAAGAAATGCAAGAAATCAAGTACGTAATCTCCTTGCAGGAAGGTGACAGCTGAAGACCTGGGGAGCTGATCAGCATCGCAGAACCAGCAATGAAGGCGTCCAAGATGCCTGACCCCCAAGTTAGAGGCTTTTTACCCACTCTTTCAGAATGGTGAAAATGCAGACATGATGGGATTCCCAGTTTGTCCATTCACCAAGGGACCACCAGAATGACCTTCCATCTGCCTATGTCCTCCATTGTAAACTTGGGAAATTACATCAATACGCACTGCACTGGACTGATATGAGAATCAAATCAGATAATGAATAAGAAAAAACCCAGAGATTCCATAAAGAGCTCTTAATTACAATCACATGGAAAAACAATCTGTACAGTGAGTCCTCCTCTCCCTTTCTCTCTCTTCCCTCTCTTTTTGCCTCTGTCTTTATGTGATACTAGACACTGAACCCAGGGCCTTCACTGAGCTATATCTCAGCCTTTTTTCTTCTTACTTTTTATTTTGAGATGGGGTCTTGCTAAGTCACTAAGAAAAATCATTTGAAATTCATGAGCAAAACGTGTCATGTTATCAATACCCAGTAAATGCGTAACTGAATTTTTCTTCCTATTCCTTCAAAATCCAGTATCTAAACCAATTCTATCAAGTTTCATAAAGCCAGAAAAAAGTATGTTTAGCAACTGACAGAGAAAGCCTTTTAGGAATACCTTTAGTCCAGCAACTTTTCTCAGTTCTCTCTTTATTTCTCTCTATGCCTTGTATAAGATTTAAAACTCACTATTCACTTTCCTGTTCTTGAAATGGATAGCACCACTTAGGACATTTCATTCAATTTTTCAACACAATGCAACGTCAGCTGACACTACGTGAAGCTTTAGTATATACCAGGAACTCTGCTAGGTGTTTGTCTGGTTGTGAAAACCCGAATAGACAAATGGTCTGTTTCCAAAAAGTTTCTTCCAGGAGGCTCCATCAAAAAGTCAGGGGATGCTCTTTCAAGTAAGACAGCGCAGGAAGGAATGAACAGCAGATTCAATTTATTCAAATAATCACACACACAGTGCAGTACTCATGACAGGTAGTTCAGGTAATCTCGATGACAAAATCCTATAGTTGTCTCAAATAAAACAAACCTAAAAGCAAAATGTATTCTGCCTGTGAAAAAAGTCCCCAATGCTCATGTCAGTAAGCCAAAAGCTGAAGTTACTCTTAAACTCCTACCTCTTTCTCTTGTTCATTTCTAACTCTTATAAGATGGAAGTAAAAAGAGCTATTTATTGAGAAAACTTCCTTTGAAAAACCTGAGTAAAGCAAGTAATTAGCTACAATTTCCTATAGCATTAAAACGTCTATTCTGAAAATGAAAGAGAAAGTGAGAGAGATACAGAGAGAGCCTGACTTTTTGGTACAGACAGCAAAAGAATAAATGACCACAACAATAAAGTCTCAAAGTGGAGGCAAAAAGCCAGGGGTTCTTCTCCCCTTCACCTGTACCCCAGCCACTCTACTTGGACGGACACCGACACCATTCTCCTCCTGGATCTGCTGCCTACTTAGTGAAACTAAGCCAGCTACTTTTCTCTGGACTGGATCCCTAACTATATATAAGCTTCAGATTTGCATAGTCTTCAGACTTTTCTTAAATCTAACACTCCAAAGTCTAGCAAACTCCTTTGAGCAACAGGAAAAGGTTGTTCCAGGAGACGCAAAACCGAGCTGAAATACACTGTTAGGAAATTCCCTGTCCTCACTTAAAGAAGTAGATCAAATAAAAGAGAAATCGTAAACACATACACAGCGACATTCCAGAATTCACATACTTGCCCATCCCTGAAAGAGTCAGCAACTCGGATGAAGTTTTGAAGGCTGCAGGGAAAGCCAGCAGAAGAAACCCCTACAGGAGTCATTCTTTACTTAGTTCCAAAGACCACACACTTCAGCTGGGAGAAACCAACCGGACCAGACTCCACCTCCTCCGCCAGTGCGAACTGCAGCAAAACTCTCTGGGAGTTCATTGTTCCCAAGGAAAATGCAGCTCAGGAGGAGAAACAGGAAATGGGCCCTTTTGGATACCCGGTCATGACATTTATCATTAACCAAGCTCGGAGAAGTAAATCCATAAAGTAATTCTGGACAGTACAATGTTCTCCAGCCTCCCTGTAAATGCCTCTTTTATTTCTTAAAAGAAAAAAAAAAAACAAAAACAATCCGTGGTCGGTTTCCAGCTGTGTTTAGTTCACAGCAATCTGTTTCCCCTAGGAAAGCTGCCAACACCTGACGCTAACATTGAACACTAAGTTAAAAAATAATAATAATTCAAGGGGGAAGAAACGATACGGCCAACTATGTTAAATGACATTTTCTCTTGATGTTCTAAAGCAAAAATGAAAAGAAGTCAGAAAATAGGCGTTATATTATGTCTCACATGAGCAACAAGCCTTCTCAGAAAGAGGCTTTTGCGTCTTCCTGCCCTGTTCTTAGTGAAAATCTGCAGAGAGGAATCCTTCTGGCCTGACTGGGTAGGCAGCACTCTATTGCATTAGCCCTGTCACACCCATGCATTTTCTCTGAAAATACTGCGGTTCCAACACCCATGTATATTTGCAAAATTCATCTTAAACTAAAGCTGGGTCATTATAATCCTGGCCTGCAACAAAATAGCAGCGGGGAGGCGGGCAGGCGGGCAGGCTTGCCAATAGTTAGAAAATATTTACCAGGCCACAGAAATGTACACTAGCTTTGACCGTGTGGAAAATCATGGGTTACATGAGTCTTACCCAGCACCCACTCACAAAGGGTGAGCACAAAGGGCTCCTCTGATGTGCCTTATTACATAAAGCAGACGATTGTGCCGTGCGGCCAAGCCAGACAGCACAGGGGCCCCACACGCTCTGCAGAAGGTGGCGCGCTGGGGATATGCTGATGCTTAAATATTTGTCAGCTTGGCTAAAGGCTGGACAGCGTGATTCGGAGGGTTTACAGATTCACAAAAGGATGGTGGTGCTTCCAGCACCAAATTGATTTTAAAAATCTGTTTCCCGATATGAATGGGATTCAAAGCCAAGTAACTGGCAACCTGAAAGCCTTGGCTGTGCTCTCCTTACTCCTTGCATCTGGGTTACGTTCCAAGTGCAGTTGGCATTGAAACGGGCAGAGAAATGTCATTAGCTCTTATTCAACTGCAATGATCATATGCAAAACTAAGGGAGCAGGGAAGAGGGACAGGAATAGAGAGACAGTTGCCTTCACAACACCCAGATGTAAACGGACCTGGATTCCCGATGCTCCAAAGCCACTGGTCACATGCACGACTGCGAATCCTAGCGGTGTGCCTGGATTCTCTGGAGTTACAGGAAGGGTAGAGCAGAAAAGCTGTAAAGCTCATTTGAAAACCTGCCGTCACTTTGATTTCAAGGAGGCAAAGTGGTGGCGAATCTATGGCACACAGAGCCCCCTTTGTTGGCACACAAGCCAAGTGTGTAAGTTGTGTTTTCTAAACTGAAGCCTCAGTATTCAGGTGTAATTGCAGTGTCGGCACCTGGGCATAAATAAATGGGTTTCAGGCTGCAGGGTGGGCACTTGTTCTCTTAAAGGTTCGCCATCAGTGTCTTAGGAGCTTACCATGCTCTTTCCCCTGCCTGGAGCGCCCCAGTCCCTTGTGAATGAAAACTCAGTCCTCCAAACTCAGCTCACTAACTCCATACCTCACAGAACCTTCCCACACCACTCTCTCTAAAATAGGTCCCCGTGAACGTCTTCCACTTATTTTCCTCATAATCCATAACTATGTTATTGCTGTGCTTATTTGTTTTTGCATTTATTTATTCTTATTTACTACCTATCTCCCCCACTAGAATTTAAGTTGCATGACGGCAGTGATTTCGCCCAATCCCTGCATGCCATAAATATCTGTTTGCTGAATATTTTCTTGACCAATATGAGCTATCTCT